CATCTGCATGCCATGAGAGCAGGAGACAGCACACCCAGGCAGGTAGCCACACGGAGGGTTGGGGGGGCTGGGTCCTGCTGCTGATGGAGTGGAATGGGAGGTGGAGCCCTGGGCATGAACCAAGACCCTGGCGCACACGCGTTGTACAACAGACCAAAGAGGGGATTGCTGCCCCAGAAAACTTAACAGTAGGTCGCGCCCAGGACTCTGCTTCACAAAAGCTCACCTTGGATGGGTCCATGATGACAGTGGGCACAAAGTTGAGGAAGATGTGGTTACAGTCAGTGCGGACACCGGTGTTGCTGAAGGCCACTTCCAACTCATCCATTGCCTCCAGGAGTAACCGTTCACCCTCGTTCTCCAGGTATTCAAAGGAGGCCTCCTGGAACAGGGCACAAGACAGCACGTGAGCTGGGAATTGAGAGCGAGCAACAATCCAGGAAAGTCACAACACTCGTTCCTGCTGGAATCAGGCTGGGTGACGAAAGCACAGCCCTGGCCTCCATCTGTAATTCCGAAGCGCAGCTCATGGCCACGACACTCCATCTGAGTTAGAGCCAGGCACTGGCACTTACAGTCTCCATGTACCACGTGCCTTGATTAAAGAGGAGCAGAGTTGCAAAAGGCTCCTCCTTGGGCATGTAATCAGGAGCTCCTGATAGGCTGGTCCTCAAACGGGCAAAATTTGGGCATCTCCCAAAGAATAAATGCCTCGCTCCCTGGCTATATTAGATTGTTGTCCTTAAAGCCAGAGTAATAGAACAGCAAGGGCATTGCAGCTTTCCCCTCAGAGTGTTTCTGAATACTATGCATTACAGGAGAGCAGTACAGGTCTGGACAAAGCAACAAAACACTGTATTAATTCTGAGTCACAGAGAAGTCCTTTTACCTTAGTGATGAGATCAGAGTGTCTTATTATGGCTCGTATGAAAAACCTGTAGTCCGTAACTTCCGTGCCCTCTTCCACTTTGGCTGCTCCTAGATAAAGGTGCATCCTGTGGTTGGCACAGGGGATAGCAGTCAGGTCAAAGTTACGCATCCGATTCAGCTCTAGCTGGAAGGCCAGGGCTGGTTCCAAGTGCCGATAAATCCCGTCTTCTGCAAACTGGGTGCACACCAGAAAAGAGCAAACAGTCTTAGGAATGATTTCAGTCATTTCTAGAAATGAATTGGGACACCAGACAATGAGCCTTACCTTATCTCTTGCTCTGAATGTGAAAAACTTGGGAAATTCTCTCTACAATCAGAAAAAACAGGCACATTAACAAAATTAACTCAGCAGTGGCATTAAATACAAGCTGGAGATTCAAGCAATTCTCATCTGTACTAGTAAAAAGGGCACTGAAGACACAAGATAGTGAGGTCATCCCCAAAATAGAAAGCAGCTTGTAACACCTTGGCTCTGAATCCAACCAGCCCCATCAAAAACTGAGTTGACAAAATTACATATAAAAGTACCACACAATAGATGTGTCAATTGATTCTCACAGAATCAAACAGGTTGCTCATAACCTTCCATAACACCTTCTATGGGCATCTTTATCTTATCCCTCTCACACATACCACTCATGTCTAATATGTTTGTAGCCTCCAGCAATTAACTTTTAAAAGCTACATGGAATGTACATTTAAAAATGTGTGGTGAAAATGCTACTGCCTCTCAGTCTGCCCTCACCTGCTGCACTATTAAAAACGTGATCCTTCGGAGGCCGCAGTCAACAAGGACATTTTTCTGTAAGAAAACAGGAGACAAATGTCTTCCCTTCAT